TTCTAACATGATGCTTATTTAAAGGGTTTGAAAAAGGCTACGAGCTGTCCTTTTAGATGTAGGAGAAACCTGTGTGTTTGATTGGAATTGACTTTTGGGAAGATCTCTGTATGCTTACACATGGGAAGAAAGATCAGTAGTCTGATCCCACAGAGGAGGACATGTTTCCATGCAAGATGAGAGATTATCTCCTAATGATTCTTTCTCAAGGGGTATTGTGAGGTACTGCTTCTGTAGTCATGTTCTTCTGAAGAACCATTAAAGGTTACAGATTACTACTTTTGTTATACAGAACAAATGAAATGTCTTGGACAAAATGGTTGCTGTCTCTCCTTTTGACAAAACTGCTTATGCTTGAGAAACATAGCTTTGCAATTCCTCCTGGTTCCCTTTGTCTCCCTTTTTCATGCAGTTTGAGAATTATTGTCATCTTTTTTAAAAGGAGAATGTGACAGGAATGTGTGATTAAAGGAGGTAAAGAGATGAGGCTGGAGAAGGTTAGAGATACAAGTATAAAAGAAGAGCTAGGAGACAATGTGACGCATGCCCTTCGCTAGTGTCAGGTTCCCCCGTGTCACCTTTGCCTGATGTTTTCGACACCTGGGAATGCCCACGGACATGGTGTGCATGTTGCTCCCTCCTCAGGAAAGGTCGTGGTTTGCTGCCGACACGATTCCTCCCTTAGCTCATTCTGGTCATTGTTTGTGGCAGTTTTATTTCTGGGTATGTCCGTATGGTCCATGTAATGGCACGGCTGTTTCTTCAGCTGACTTTTTTTAAAAAAAAAAAAAGAGAAAATGACCAAAAAACCCATCAAAAGAACTTCATTAAGGTTACTAATAAAGATATTTAAAAGCTAAGAAATTTTGGCATTCAAATTTGAGATGAAGCCTAAATTTGCTCTAAATGTGTGTGGAGGTGATTTTTTTTCTAAACTCAGTAATTTTCAGTTTGCAGCCCAAAAATATTTTCCAGTGGAATAGTGCCGGTTGGAGTTGAGTGTATTCAGGCCTGCTTGCCCTGGGCTTGCCTCGGTCAGCGTCGGTCTGTGGGCCCTGGTGAGCAGGGTGTGAGTGCCGGCGGGCTGTGGAGAGCTGACCGACAGCAGCATTTTAGTTAGGTGATAAAGTTTTTATCTTTGTTGTGTTATCTCATGACCTCTGCCTCTTTCAGTACACTACTTAAGATTTATTCTTGAGTGGAATCACATTTGGAAAATGACTCTTCTGTAGGGCTTACTTGTAGCAGAAATTGGAAGATTAATAGAGATTGGGAAAGAACGAAGATTGCTCGTGGTGAAGGCATTTGAATCACAAAATAGTTGAGGCTGGAAGGGACCTCTGGAGATCATGCTGTTCAAACTCCCCACTCAGGCAGGATCACCTAGAACAGGTTGTCCAGGACCATGTCCAGTTGGCTTTTGAATATGTCCAGGGACGGCAACTCCACCACCTCTGCATGCAGCCTGTGCCAGCGCTGGGCGGGAAGCTGCAGTGCAAGCACCATTTCTGCTTACAGCTGTCTTGCACAGCTCTTGGGCCTTTCTAGGCTCTCAGCTCAGCCTGTGCATAGGATGGTTAGAACTTAATTGATGATGGTACAGTGTTTTATTTCCTCTTCACTGGTCAGTATATAGTCAATAAAGAAAAAGTAACAATTTATTCACTTGCATGGTTTTTAATATCTGTAGCAACTAAGCACTTGATAGGTATGTGCTCAGGTAAAGGAGTGAATGAGCAGAGGGAAGGTGGAACTACCTAAAGTGTTAATCAAAGTATTCAAACTTGAATTTCAATATATGTGTACGAGGGGACCAAGCTAGCATTGGACAGTCAGTCTTAACTTAGGGGTGTACTTTATTTGGCAGCTTCTGTATTTTTGATAGTTTTGTGTGTAATTTTATACAGATGGATATAATGTACCAAACAGATTTTGACGCAAGGAATAAATTACTTCTCCTAGGAGACACAGAGGGTATAGGACAGGTCTGAAGTTCAGCCTGGTGCAGCTTTTAGAAAAAAGAAAAAGAATATTCTTATTTCTCTTGTGGATATAATGGATATTTCCTGGGTGATGTATAGGTTGAGGATTTAGTTTAGTGTGTTTACCAGAAGGCAGCCGACCCGCTAGAGAGAGTTCTCTCTCTTCCTTTCTTCCCTCTCGTTCCCTACTTCCTGTCTTCTTTCTCTGGACAAGATTTAAGTAGAATTAAAAGCTTTACACGGGAATGCTTGAAATGCTTGTGAGTTAGACTGTGTGAGAACCCATTCTGCACTTCTGGCAGATTTTCAGGAAAGCTTAGCCCTGTGGTTCTTGAAGCTATGGTGTGCTGCTGTATTCCAACAATGCAGACGCTAAACTTACACCATCTCTTGGGAATACGACTTATTAAGATAGAAGAGCTACGTTTTCTTGTGCTTTGGGAAGAGAGCATGCCACGGGGTCACATCCAACACACCCCCCGTTTGAACAAATACAGTAACCCAATTGGGAGGGGAACTTGCTAAAGCCATAGTGCAGTATAGGTAAGTTAAAACAAAAACTAAAAACAAGTTACAGGAGGAAACATGTTTAAGGAGGAACACTGCATTACGGAGTTTAATTATGACAGGAATATTTTACTTCCACTCATCCTAAATCAGACATATAAAAAAGAGACATGTGATCAAGGAATTCAGTTTTCAGTTACCTTTTGCAATTTGATATTTTTCTGAGTACCCCCAGCTGAGTGTGGTATTTTTCTTTTAAAAGTGTTGCTATGCAAGTATTTAATAAAATTGGATTTGATTTTAAGTTGCTTTTTACAATTTGGTGGTTTTATGCCCCAGGTAAGCATAGTTTTTATTAAAAGAAACGGTTGCTAGGTAGTTGAAAAATTTGAACAACTTAATTAAAACAAAAAGGCAGTCAGCCAAGTTGTTTCCTTTTCCTTTTGTTCCTTAGCACTGTGAATATGTGAAAATAAATATGTACCTATATATTTGAGTGCACGTATGTATATGTATTACATGCATGTGTATGCTAAAGTTTGTATGACCAATGTGATGATCAGAGTGGTACTTACTACTCAAGTAATAAATCTGTTCTTGAACTAGAATTTTTGTTAGAATTGGAATTTAAATAAGTGGTTCCCTTCACTTCATGAATGAATCTTCATTTTCAGATATTTAAGAATGGGTTGAATGCTTTGTGATTCAAGAAATCTGATTAGACTGGTCAACCTGCCCTTAGAAAATGAGGATATTCTAGGATGATTTGAGGGCAAATTTGCTGTCCTGCTTGACCACATTATCCATGGCTTCTCTTTTCCATGCATTTTCTTCCATAACTTCATAAGTTCATGATCACTATGATAAATGTTCATGATCACTATGATAAATGAAGTAATGGACTACCTAAAGGTAATGCTAAGGAAGACTGATGCCCGAAATATCAGTAGAAGCCTCAGACTAAAACTAAACATATTAGAAATGTAGTATGTCTTATTAAAGGCGTAAAGAAAGTGTTTAGAGTGAATACAATGTGGAACTAATCTCCTTTAGCAGATTAGTTTTGGGTAATGGATGTTATTGTTAATCTAGGCTGTTTCAACATGGTATCTCAGTTCTATTTCTTATGTTTAAATTTTGTATGTAGACAGTTTTTTTTTGTACTTGTCTGTATTAAGTAGACATACAGCTTTTCAGAAAACAAATACGCAGTTTCTACCAGTTGTCTGCAGATCTGGCTTTCACAGTACTGGGATTGCAGCACTTTTGACTGCATGTGTTCTAGATTCATTTTTCTTTTCGGAGAACTGTTCTAATCTTGGCAATAAGCTAGGGAACTGTAGCCTTATAGGTCTGTTATTTAATCCCTTATCTCTGTCAAATTTTGGGGGCAATCTGTTGATTCAGTTGATGTAGGTTTCATTTTAAGTCAGAAATCAGGATTTCTTGCCTTTCACATAAGATGATATGCATTTTCATCCTCTAAAAATGTTGAGTAGTCTACTTTGAACACTTTCTCAAGCTGAACTCTTTGATTGCATTGCACATTCTCTGCTTGCTGGCATAGAGGAAATTCCCTTTAAGAGCTATTTGTGAAGTTGCATGTATATTTTTTTTTTTCTTGCAAAAATAAATTTTTGGACTTAAATCAAGGTTGTGTATGAAAGGAGGTTGTCTTTAGGAGCCCTGATGGGTAAACTTGTTATCTGATTTGCAATAGGGAAGAACAAACGGTATTTCTAAATAATGGGAATAATGTGAAAGATAGAATATTCAGACTTGAAGGACAGAAATAGAACGATTGGAGAGAACTGTTCAGAGAACTAGAGTAGTTGCAAGTAAATTTAGGGACTTGAATTAAGAAAACGAAGAACCTCAAGTCAAAGCGCAAGTACTTTTATTGATTGTCTTATGAATATGAAATTGCTTTTTAGGCTGGTTTCCCAAGGACATTAAGCTTATATAATCACTTGGGCTTCTTTCTCCCTCAGTAACTATTGAACCCTGATGACTAGTTGCAACAAGATTTTACTGACACGTAACAACTTCAAAGACTGTTGAGTTGCTGCATGTTTTGTGACTACCAGCAGGCTAAGGAATGCATCCCAAACTTAATTCCCAGCTGAGACAGGAAAACCTGCTGCTGCTGCTCTTTCCATTTGTTGTCAGCTGAACAGACATCAAGATTTGTGTATTGACTGGCCCGTTGGCAAGCACGTAGTTGAAAATTAGTGCACAGGTTACTCTACAGTAGCATAACACTTGCCAACTCTTGCCCCAGAGTGTTTTAGTAGAAAACTTCAAGGGAACAGAGGTTACTGTGGTGGGTACTAAAAGGAAAATAGAGAAATTCTTAGGAAAGCATGGGTTTTTTGGTTTCACTGCTTGCAGAACTGACTTCTGATGTGGAAAAGAATTCTGGATTCACAGTAGAAGTGCTTAATCCTATTTTCTTTATACTTATTTATTAATTTATGTTTGTCCATGGGTGTACTTTTCTTGCAGTGGTATGATGAAAGATTCAACTTCCAAGCTACGTTTTTACAGTGCTTGGCAAAACATGTGCCAAATATTTACTCAGCTGAAATGGACCCCTTGCTGGAGAAACAAGAAGAAATGGTCCAGGCAGCAATATTATACCCCCTGGAATGTTACTTGTTTGGGGAAGACCCAGATATATTCCTGGAGAAACTACAGCAGAGTGGAACCTCTCAGCTCTGTGGGAAGGTGTTCAAAGGAGGGGAGACAACGTACTCTTGCAGGTAAGAACGAAGGTATGTTATCGTGGATGTTCCCATGTAAGATAATGCAGCAAAGGGGTTTAATAAAATTAGTCATGCTGCTAACTGGGCATTGCTTGTGTCATGATAGGTCTTTGCTTAACTGACAGTGGCATTTGCTTCACATTTCAAATCACTTTAGGGTGAGGAAAATTGCATGTGGAAAGCAGACTCTGGCAGAAATGAGGAAAGTCTTGGAAAGGATATTAGAGGTACTGAAAGTCATTGGTTAAAAATATGGGATGATAGGGTGTGAGTATGGGGTCTGTACCTGAGCCGAGGGAGAGCAGGCATAAAAATCTGTGGACTGTACGTTACTCACCCTTTCAAAGTCTGAAACAGAATCCAGCATTTCTGAGCATCATCAGTCCTTTGCTTAAAGCAGTAGCTGTGTGACCAGTGGTCATTTTTTCGCCTACTTTCTCGTCCTGGAGTATATTAAAGATATCAGCCCATTGATTTGATAGAATTTATTTTATTAACCCATATTAATACAAATAGTATGAATAATAATATATTAATATAAA